GTCTGGAACCAGCTTCCAAGTGAGGTGGTGCAGGCTCCCACCCTGGGGGTTTTTAAGAGGAGGTTGGATGACCACCTTACTGGGGTCGTTTGACCCCAGTGCTCTTCCTGCCATGGCAGGGGGTCGGACTAGATGATCTGCTCAGGTCCCTTCCGACCCTAGAAACTATGAAACAGTGTAAGCACAGCCCACAAATCTAACATACTGTCAACCTGAGAAGCAAAGGCCCACCTACACCTTGAGTATCTTCATCATTTCATCCCGATGCAAGAGGAACAAGCCCCAATCCACCAGCTTATCCTTCCTTCTCCACTTCAGGAAGGCCAAAGTCTGTCTGTCTTTACCTCCTGTGTGTCTGCTTTGGGGGCTTCTGCTCCTGCTTCTGTATTCTCCTCAAGGGTCTTCCCCGAAAATTTCTTCAACCAGTCATCATCTGACCAGACTGAAATGGAGAAAAGAGGGGCTCAGAACTGCGGGGGCAAGAACCTGGGACAAAACCAAGCCACTAGGCCTCGCATTCACCTGTTACACTAGCAACCAGGTCTAAACTCACTGTGGGCTAGGCAGCTTTAAGGTATCTTGAGAACAGGTAGGTTTGACCCCCAACAGATTAGCTCTAAAGGCAAGGAGTATGTGAGACAGAGAACTATTCGCCTGCGACAGAGCAGCAGGATGGGATCATCATCAACAAGAAGGGCTGTCAAGACTTTCAGTCAAGTCAAGCCTCCTACAGCAGTTGCCTGTCTACGTTATCTGGCAAGACATGCTTGCTTATTTCTTCCTCAAACGGCTTCAAGCCCAGGAGACATTTTCCAAATACTTCAGGAGCTTAAGAGCCCAAGTGCCATTTTCAAAAGCGATATGGGTGCTTAGAGGCCTGTTTCACTGAAAGAAAACCATTTGACTTCAGTCAGCTGTGGGAAAAGGATAGCATCCAACAAGCCCTCTGTGCTCGTGGTTTGTGTGTAAGCCTGTGTAGAGGATCCCCGTTTCCTTTAGCCTTCTGGTCTGTTTGGTTAGCATAGCAGAGGCCAACCTTTTTGACAGGCATGCCACAAATTAGCCCTGCACCCTCCCCATGTGTTTGCTCAGTTATCATGGCACCTCCAGAATCCACCCAACTGCCACCTCCCAATCCCTCCTGGGCAGAGTATTTTGCATCATCTGTTGCATTTCCCTTAAGGCAGATACCTCAGATCCACACAGCCTTGGCCCATGTGTTGCATGCCAGTGATGGCAGCCAGCTGGGAAGGCATAACCACAAGAGCTTCCTTCTTCGAGGAACTAGCAGCCAGTTCTGCCCCTGAGCTCCCCATCAAATCCCCAGGCCAAGAAACAAGAGGCAGAGACAGGAGATAGAGGGCAGAGGCCTAAGCAAAGCAATGGGGAAAGCAGCCCAACAGCCATCAGGGAAGCCATGAGGATCTCCTGACTGAATCCCAAGACACTCCCCTCTCTCATCCACCAACTCACCAGGTCTGGAAGAGCCCTCCTTAATCCGCATTGGCTTGGCCAAGTTGACACGAATCGTCCTGCCAAACAGCTCTGATTCGTTCTACAGAGAGTGAAGCAATCAATGGTGAGAAATCCCCCTTCCCTCAGAGCCCTGCAGACCTCAGGGGAAGACTGAGCTATGCATCGCCCCAATCCCCTTCCCATTGTTACCAATACCCCAGGCACTCTTAGCATCAGCCAGGACCCCAGGGAGCAGGGTTACACAAACACCACAGAAAGATGGTCCCTGCCCCAAACAGCTTATGACTGAAGTGCTAGAAGAGATAGCAGACGGACAAACTCAAGGAGATGAGAAGGCAATATGGTGATGCGACAGGCAGTGCCTTCAGTAAGCCAGAGGCCTATCTGTACTCTGAGCCCTGCACAGAAGACATCTTCCTTGAGCATGTTCTATAGCACTTCTCCAGTGCAGTGACAACCCCCGCTTTTGCTGGCAATTCCCTTTTTCATCCAAGCATTGGCCATCAGCAATATAACTTGCTGGAATTCGTTCTGGACTTGCCTGGGAGAGTTCAGAACTGAGGGAGTTATCAGAATACCATCCCTCCCACCTGAGAAAGGGGCAGGAGGTATCAAAGCCACATTTCCCTTGCTTGGGCTAGAAGGGACGGGCTGCTGCCACAAGGATTGGGGTTTGTTAGATAAGGAACCGACAGGAATAGCCAGGCAGCACTGAGACAGTCTACCTCGTCCTACCAGACTTGGAGGACCGCAGAAGCACAGGCTGCATGCCTATCGGAATGGATGAGCCTTTCCGAACAGTCAGGATCTGACAGGAAGAGAGCCCTTACCATGTTGTCGATAGCTGCTGCCGCATCCTAAGGCAAAAAAAAGAAAGAATATTTTACTGCTAATTCAGCCCTCACGTCCCTCTAACACTGTAGAAAAGGTACTTAAGCACCTGGCCTGAAGTTTGGGTTTCATTTCACTCCACTGTACACCTTTGGATCAATTTTTTACCCACAGGTTTCCTTTCTCCCCAGCACTAGCCCTGTAGCTTCCTGCTGCATCTGGCTAGGACCTCCTTAGTTGTTTGTAGACATGTCAGGCAGCCGTGTAGCTTCCTCAGTCCAGGTTTTTTTTCCGATCTGCATAAGATTCTGGTCATTTATCATGCTAATTTAGGGTCAGAGGCAGATCTTGGGATGGGAGTACTGGACCAGGAGCAAAGGGCAGTTCATAGGGCCCGTTAACCTAAAACATCACTGTTAGCACAAGGGATTGAACTAGCCCTGGAGAAAAGCCAACAATATGAACCATGGAGAAGCTTCTGAAGAAGCTCTACTCCGGTCTGAAGGTTGAAAAACTGCAGAAAAAAATAGAGAGAGAATCAAAGAGAAGTTGGGCTGGAAGGGACCTCCTGAGGTTGTCTAGTCCAGTCCTCTGCCTGAAGCAGGATCGGCCCTATCCAAGCCATCCTATTCAAATCCATGGTCTAGGCTCTTAGCAAAACTAGTCAGCCCCAACACAACACCCAAGAGATAACCCCCTAATCTGTGGAAGACCTAATAACAGTGGGACCAGAGAAGCAGAACAGAAATTCCACAGAGTATTATATAGAGCCAATAACGCTAAAGAGTCAGTCAAAGTGTAGAATCCTATTTCCACTTCAACCATAAAACTCCCACTGGATTCAACTGGCACAGGATCGGGTAAAAAAAACAAAAAAATAAAAAGGGAGGAAGACGACATTTCAAACTGTGTTAAAATGTGCCCTTTTCTCACCTCAGCCAGCTCAAACTCAATGAAAGCAAATCCTCGGTGCTTCTCTGTGGAGAGACAATGAGCAGTTACCTTCACAGTATTACCAGGAAAGCTCTTGCCCCCATGAAAGTCAAAGCAGGAGAGGTCTGGTGCATTAGTTGGGCTAACAAGAGGAATTCATGTCTATGCTGCTGCCTCCATCTGAGAGTTTAGATTCTGTTTCAAAGACTTCCTTTTTTACCTGCTGGTACAAAGCTCCACTAACATCAAAGGACTCTATTATTTCTGTCCTGCAGGAACATTAAACTACTCTTTATTATGATGTCAATGATACTAAGACATCTAGCTAATTAATTCTCCAGTAATGAATTTTAACAGTTATTTGTCCCACAGGGGGGAAATATCACAAACAGATTTTAAACACAATCCTGAAATAAAGTCCCAGCACAGAGCTATCTGCATCTATACAGAGCCTCACCGAAATCAATTCTGTGCAGATGAAATTCAGCGCAGGGTCTAGGACCTGGCTTACAAACGACGCATGGCATTGTTAAGCCCTGTGGGTTGCTAATTAGAAAATAAATGAATGCACATCATGTTTTAAAAAAGCATGAAAAATGCACTTGGTTAATCTACTTGGGAAGCTGTAACCTAGGTGTAATTAATCATGCAAACATTTCAGAAAGTCTTACGGGTTTGGCCAGCAAAGGAGTTTTAGCAGTAACATCTGCTAGCAAATCTTTACTAAAAAGCTGGGAATGGACGCAGGGGTGTGAGGGTGTTAAGCTCAGGGTGGGTTTCCATGATTCGGATACAAGCAACCCCCGCTTAGCGCTCTTGATTCCTGAAAAACCAAGCGTTAAGCAAAACAAGTGTTAAGTGAAACCGAAAGTTTTGGACGACCCAAGGTGGCGACCGCGAGCATCACATGGAAAATTACTGACTGCCAAGTGAAATCAGGTGTCAATTTTAAACGAGCATTATAGCGAAACAGCGTTAAGCAGGGGTTGCCTGTACTGCTTTGAAACCTCTGAAACAGGTGGAATTCGCTGGAAACCTCAAGCCCGTGAGGTTTCCCTCCTGTTCCCAAGCCTGCACGTGTATCCCGCAAACTCAGACTGTTTTAAGTGACAATAATGCCAATGCAGCAAAAAGATGCTGGCTTGTGATGTTCCAAAGGTGTTAGCGCCAGTATTACCATCATACAGGACTTCATTTGTCCTCTTAGGAGTAATCAAACTCACTCCCCAGGCTTGAGCTTCCACGACTTCCTGGGACGCCGTGAACCCCGCAGCAAGCGCCTTGCAACGGCCATTTGACGCTCCTCTGGGACGCTGTAATATTATTCCTGATGGAGACCCAGTGCCCTGCGTGAAACAAGATGGGCCAAAAGCTGGAGCCCACTCACCAGTTTCGTAGTCCAGAGGTATTTGGATGTCGGTGATATCTCCAAAGGGAATGAAAGCCGCGTGGAGAACCTTCTCGTCCACCTCTTCAGCAAGGCCGCCTGCAAACCAGAGCGAGCGCTTTAGCGGCGCAGCACATTTAATCACAAAATGTTTCCCAGCACTGAAGGACAAGGGAGGCTGCCCCACTAGCATCCCCTACCCATTGCTTTCGCTCATGTCTCACGGTGCCATAAGCCGCATTTTTACTTAAATATGAATCGCTGGAGCCAGGGGCCTTCCCGCAGAAGAAAGATTTCCCCAGGGCCCAAAAGTGTGTGTGTGGGGGGGGGGGGGGAGGCCCCCCCCCAAAACAAATTTCCAAACGCCCCCGCGGGGGCCCCCCAGGGACAAACCCCCCCCCCTTTTTGGGCCCGGGGGAAATTTTTTTTTTGGGGGGGAGCCCCCTCACAACACAGATTTCCAAGCGCCTCTGACGGGCCGCCACAGGCACAAGTCCTGCTGCCTTTTGGCCTTGCACCAAAGTTCACTTGTATTCGCCAATGTTCACAACTGACCCCACAGAGCCCTATACCCCGCCCACGGGGTCCCGCTCCTCACCCACATACAGCACCCGCTTGGTGGCCGCCATCTTCGCTCCCAGCAGCCCCCGCGCGACGCCCCCCCC